GTTGGTGGAAGGGTTTTGAGTAGTAGAATTAGCTAGATTTGTAATGATTGGATCTATTTGAATTCTTTGGTTGCTTGTGGACGATGAGATTTTAAATGGATTTGGTGTAGCAATAGGGAAAGGCACGTGTTGGTCTTTATTGGCCAATTGTGCAACCAAGAGGTTCTTGTGGGACATGTGTTGTGGGGAACCATCTTCATCCATGCAACTAATATTGTTATCATTGGTGATATTAGAGGGGTTAATTCTAGTGATTTGTGGGTCTTTAATACTCTGTTTGTGAGCATTATAAATGAAATTAGTTTTGTTATTATGGTTAGTAGGATGCTTAGGCAATTGCATGTTAGATAAGCTAGTCTCCTTCCTGAGGGACACGTTGTCTTTTAAAACATTATTAGAAGCCACGTCAGAATCTTTTAAGTCCAAAAACATATTTGAATTAGGATTTTCTTTTTCATCTAGTTCCATGGGCAGATTCTCCAAGGCAACAAATTTATTTCCTTTGATAACGTAGTCTGGTGTAGAAAGATCGTTATCAGTAGGGATGATCTTTACTTTGATCTTGTTTTGATTACTGGATCAGAAAACTTACCCGGTATTCCATATGGAAGTTTGGTGATTATACCTGGCTTTTGATTTATCTCGTTCCCTTTCCCATTGTCTATCTTCTTCTTGGTAAAATTAACTGTCTGTCACACTTCTCCATTAATTTTCCGGGCATTGCTGCATTCATTTGGTTGGGGAGTTGTGTTGCTTGGTAATGTGGTTGGCACAGTCCGCATAGTCTTTTTAATTTCGCACTTTGCAGCCACATGACCTAGCCTTCCACAATTTTTGCATAAGAAATTCTCGTCTTCATATTGAATGTGTTGCTTGTGACTTCCAATATGGATAAAAGGGATAATGTGCTCCTCTAATGGCAATTCTCTACATAGTTTTGCATAACGACCTCTTAGGATAGAAGATGTACAAGTATCGACTTTTAATAGTCTGCCAATGGTATTACCAATTTTCTCTAGTATGATATCATTATAGAACTCGGTTAGCAATTGTGGTAGACGAACCCAAATAGATGTTAGTGAATTATCAGCTTCCGTTGCTAGAAAGTTTGGTTTCCACTGCCGAACTGATAGGAAGTGACCAAATATAAACCATAGACCATAATGTAGTACTTTAAACATAAGTTCCTCACAATTGAATTTAGTTATATAATAGTCCGCCCCTAGATCAATTAAAGGGAAGTTCTATGGGATTTTTCAAATTTCTTGTATTTTCCTTTTAAGGAGATGGTGTTGGATTCTTTTACCATGAAGTTTGATAATGATGGAAAATTTCCACGGTTGATAGATGTGCACTTGTTCTTCCAATGAGAGATGGATTTGGTGACCTTCAATAGAACTTGTATTTAAGGATAGGGGGCTTGATTCTTGTGATAGTATTGGAAAGCTACCAAATGAAGGAGTGTGTACATTAATTAGTGTGCCATGCTTGCCCGCTATTAATTTGTCTTTGAAACTTGGAGTAGATTTACAAGGATATATGTTAATGGATTTTGGAATTATATCTGATGGCTTGGGTGGAATTTGGTATAATTGGCTTGGATTTTTCATAGCTAAAGTAGTAGATTATAGCAAGTGTAGTAGACTTGTCTTGTTTAGTGAGAGGCGAGAGGAAATTTTCTTGCCTTAGTCCCAAGTTTGTTGGCGTGGGCTATAGGAAAAATCCAACCTTTCCTGCTCTATTGAGGTCTACCGTGCTTTCACACACTTTATGCTTCACAAGCTCATATAGGTGGGATTCGAGAATTACCCATCACATATAAAATAAGTACTTAATATAGTAATTTTACTATATCATCCATAATTATTACTATTATAAATGTTTGAAAATAATAAAGGTAAAATATGTATAAAATAAAAATTATTTATTGATTTTTCAAAATGAACCAGTAAAAGTGAAGAAACAAACTTGGACCGAGGAAGTAATAAATATTTTAGTAATTAAGTACATATAAGTTTTTAGCAAGGGATAGATTAATTTGATGTTTAAGTATTCAGAAATTACACCATACTACGACAATAATAGTAACTGTTACTGTATTTCTATTTAAAAGGTTAATTAACTGAAAAATAATTAAAGTTCATTGAATATTGGTGGGTTGCAAGAGATCCGGAGGAAACTTCCAGAAGCTCAAACCTGTCCTCGTGAGTCGTGATACTATATATTGGACCCTTTGTATCAGCTGGAGGTTGGAGCTGCCTTTTCCCCGCCACTGTTTATCGCCTGAAAAATAAGAGCCTTAGTTTAGGAGTCCGTCCAATTCACGTCCGTTTCCAGCAACCATGGGTGGAGGCAACGGTCAGAAAGCCAAGATGGCTCGCGAGCGGAACCTCGAGAAGATGAAAGCCCAAAAAGGTATTCTTTCTTTCTATCCTTTTGTTTCTGACACCAATTTCATAGTTTTATCTTTCATTCACATCCTGTTATTCTTGAATCATCTGATCCGTCTGTCAGTTAGCCCGATATTAGCCTTGGCTTTATCCGATTCGATCCCGTTGTTGTTATTCAATGTAGCTGAGAATGCCCTTATTGTTTTTCTGTATGCTCAGCTGTGATTTTGCGTTAAATCTTCAAGCTTTGGCATTTATTATTAACTCTCTAAATCGTTGGATCTACGCAGGAAGCCAACTTGAAAAGAACAAGCAGGCCATGAATATCCAGGTAAGACCTTTTACTTTCCACAATTTTCGTAAATTCCACCTATGTGATAATCATAAATGGTCTCAAGCTCAAATAAAGGAGGATTATGGTAGGATGAAAATCAGGGAAATAATAGTCTAACCACAATGAATAGACCTTAATAGAGCAGGACAGGTAGGATTTTTCATATGACGCGCACCAACTAATTTGGATTGACGCATAGTTAATTCTTGACTAGACATGATAAAGGATAATTTGAAACGCTGGTCTATGTTGCTTACGTCAAATGGGCCTATTCCTTCAATTCGGTGATAAAATTGGTAGGTAATGCCTTTTCACTTAATGACCAACATTCTAAGCCCTGTCTTTCTAGGTAAAAAGTAGATGAAAAATAGAAAGCACGGATCCTTTGATATTGAGATTATCTCCATCACGTAGGCCATTAAAAGGATAGAATGATGAAGGCAAGAACCAAATCAGCACTTGGATGCCACCTATAATTCTTTGTTTTCTTTCATTATTTGTTTGGGTTAGTAGTGTCATGGTTTTGAACTCAAATTCCCGTTGTATGTGTTAAAAGTATTTCTCATTTCATAAACATCTTATTGACAATCCAACAACGATAACACTCAACAATGTGTTAAACTGTGTAATCTCCGTTAAATGTTGAAAGTTGGCTCATTGAGCATGTGTACTGTTTAGTTCACAGTTTTTACATAGATACTTGCTACGTGGTTCGCGCTCCTGTGTTGTACTAAAAATTCGAGGACGCAATTAGAGAATTTGCTTCTATTTTATTTGCTCATGAAGTGATAGTGGCTTCCCACCTTTTGATGTCTTATTTGGGTGTCTTTTGTCTTTCCCTTTTCTTTTTCCATCTTTAAGGCTATGTTCCATAACATTGGCATTTCTACATTTTTGCCAGAAAATGTTCTTAGGAGGATTTGGTGTTGTAATATCATTATGATTCCTTCAACATGAGATAGCTTAGGTAGAGTTTTCCGGTTGAGTTGTTACTATAATCCTTCAGAGTCTATGCTCATCAGTGTCTGGAATGATTCATACAATTTATAGACTCACCTTGTTCACTATATGTGGTTGTTCTTTTCAGCCTCTGAAAAATTCTTTAGTGTATTTGGATTTGGTTTGATTGCTGTTGTTTAATAATTCCTTTGATCCTTGACTAACTTGTCTATGCTGTTATGATTGATGGCAGTGCAAGGTATGTATGCAGACATTTATGTGCACAACGTCAGAGGTGAAGTGCAAGGAACATGCCGAGGCCAAACATCCAAAATCTGACCTATATACCTGTTTCCCTCATCTCAAAAAATAACCTTGGACGTCAAACGTTCTTATAGAAAATGTTGGTATTATCTCCTGTCACTAGTCGCAAAAGTGTCGACCCAAGCAAGATGTGAATTGTGTGTATCTGTGAACTTGTTTGTGAGACTGGCAAGTTGTGTTAGTGGATGGTTTTAATTCTGATTTGTGTAAATAATTGGGATATAGTTGACTAAGATGATTTCTTATGCTAGGTATTAGTAGTAGGGAAATAATTGACTATAACCCGCACGTAAACAACTCATGGGCAAATTTTGAGCTCCGCACTCTACTCCTTAATTAATAATACGGAAAAAGATCAAAGCTACCCTCAAACTATTCGATTTGGTACAAATATATCNCTGACTAAGATGGTTTCTTATGCTAGGTATTAGTAGCAGGGAAATAATTGACTATAACCCGCACGTAAACAACTCATGGGCAATTTTTGAGCTGTCGCACTCTACTCCCTTAATTCTTCAATTAATTAATATTATATGGAGGATAATTCATGGTGAAACCTTTTAATGTTTGATTACTGATGATTTCTAAGGAGAGCCGGAGTGTAATGTAGTATACTTTAGAACATCAATTAATTTTGAATATTAATTGTACTTTCAGAGTATAGGTAGAAGTACAAAAGATTTCCTCTCGGTGAAAAACTAATTCTCTATTGGCATTAGATTTGGTTAAACGAGCAAACTTCAAAGCTAATTAAATATACCAAACTTCGACGCTGATTTGTTTTAATTTAATTCATGGTATCTGTTAGTAATGGGTATTTGTTGGTCCTCCTGCTCAAAGATGGCTAATGGTTATTGCGCGACTTCCTAAATATTAAACATGATAGGTGAATTTGTTACCAAAATTTAATTTGTTGCAAGACTGCAAACATATTTGTTTCAAATTTGGTAATTGTGTCTAATTTTGATATAATACAGAACCAAAGTCACCAAATCGCATAAAACGAAACCAAGTTAAAAAAACGCAATACAGTATTGGTGTAACATCTTAAAACCGAATGTATTAAACCAACCAATGAACATTCCTACGCGGAAAGGGAAATTCTGACTACAAAATTCTGTATTTCCCCAAATTCGGTAGATGTTGATACTCAAGTTCAACTACGAGTTTCCACAAATGTTAACTTAACAAGGATACAAATGGTACATCACGCCATAGTTTTCTTTCTTCCCATTGACAGCAAGCAAGACAAGAAAGCTACTGTGTCCTCATCCTGCTAGTTTCTGCAGCCCTCACTTGCAAGAAATATGTATGGGCCTAAAAAAGCGCATAGAAAAAAGTTAGTAGGTTACGCAACCTGATGCTAATGGAAAGTTGAATATTAAAGAACTTGCACACACAGATACATGGGTACAATGCTCTAGTTGTGCAACAACAACAACAACCCAGTGTAATCCCACAAGTGGGGTATGGGGAGAGTAATATGTACGCAGACCTTACTTCTACCCGATGGGCAGAGAAGCTGTTTCCAGGAAACCCTCGGCTCAAAGAGGCAACAAGAGACACTATATTAGTACTATCAATAGACTCATAATAAAACAACATAAAATACCATTAAATCCATAACATAACATAAATACCATAAAAACAAAGTAACAGCAATATAAGAGATATAGGAAATACGAGAAAGATGTAAGGTATTAATACACAGCAGATAAAGCCCATCATCAGTAGTTGATCAATAGCATCTTAAGACTAACTCCTAACTNGCTCTAGTTGTGCAAAGCAAACAAATACATATATAATGTTCATTGTTAAAAAACCGCGGGAGGGGAGAGAGAAGATTGATTCAAGCAAAAATACAGATGCCCTATCACAAAAAAGGAAAAAATGTAGCCAAGAACAGAAAGAAAGAGTGACATGCACTTCATAATCATCACCTTGCTACCCTCACTAATCTGTTTCTTGGATCTCATTTTACTCCTTACACTTTGGTATCAGTAACATATGTTTTGAAATGTCCTGAAAATTGTTCCTTTTATAGGTTTAAGATATTGTTCCCAGAAGCATTTCTTTAATAAGTTATAATTGGAAAATAAGAAGTTATAATTGGGGTCTTGTACTGGAAAAGGCTATAGAAGACAGAACCGAGGAAAAATAAAGATGAAACCCAGAATTTAAAACTCCAAAAGAGTGATTAAAAAGGATTACCATTGCTTCTTTTGCAGTAAGTCTAGACTGATGATCATAACGAAGAAGCTTGTCAAGAAAATCTATAGCCTGCAATTAAAGATCAAAATCATTCGTCAAATGGATAGTGAAGACTCATATAGCTGCTTAGGCGTAGCTGTCATCCCTGTCGTTGGTTTCATCTTATTAGACAAACTTACCATAGCTATATATATAGTTTAACTGGACAGATAGTTAAAGAAAAACGAAAGACTTTTGAAACTTATGGTCTAAAACAAGCCATAGAGAACTGTGTGGCTATAAACCATTTCATTAATGATAAAATAGGAAGTTTAAAGTTAAATTATTACGAAATATAGAAAGGTGACAATGTTTGGATAGAGTGTCATAAAATTGGGACGGATTCTCTCTGTGTGTGTGTGTATCTATAGAGAGAGAGAGAGAGAGCAATACCTCTGGTGACACTAGATGCTGATTGTCTGCATTAATAAATTTGGACCATGGCTTCCTACTGTGTCTGCACGGGAAAAAGAGGATTGTATTCATCTTCAATAGCTAAGAATTTTGACTATAAATCAGAGGGGTCACAATTCTGATAAAGCAAGCTATTGAGATGAACTTAGCAACCCTATGTTGTCACAGCTCTTAGTTGTTTAGTAATTACTTTAGCCTAGTTTTATTTCATTGATAAAAGTGCTAACAACAGGTGAAGGAAAGCAAGAAGCATACCTCCCAACCATAGCCTCTAGCTGAGGATCAAGCTCTAATCGATACTTGTGCAAATATGCATTCAACTCATCTGTCCCAAGTACCTATAACAATAATAATCCACCAACCCCATGTCAAGCAGCTAAAATTAATTTTATAGTTTTATATAACATTTTTGTTTAGTTACAAGTAACTATTGTATTGGTTTTTTCCACTTGATCAACCTCCCCTCATTCAAAGAACAAAATCAAGGCATATAAACTCATTGGTCAGTTACTAGGCATTACCTTTGCAATTTTGACGAGCTGATCCTGATTATCATGACCATAAAAGAAAGGTTCCTTGCGAAAGATCTGCAAAAAAGAGAATAATAGGCATACGTTAGCCACGAAAGAAAAAGGAGGAAAAAGAAAAATGATTCAAACAAGCAAATACAATCTTCTAACAACTCCTTTCAGATGTTTACAGCTTCCCAGGCCCCACAACTGGTAGCCTAAAATTATAAACCAACTGATGGCTTATATTATGAATCATAAAATCTCTCACCATTCCTGCAAACATGCAGCCAAGGCTCCACATGTCCAAAGAATAGTCATAGTCTTGCAAGTCAACTAGAAGTTCAGGGCCCTTGAAGTATCTGAAACACAAGAAAAGAAGACTTCAGACTTGTTGCAATAGCCTTGAAATCATAGACCAAACAAGGACACAGGCACACCAGCAACCAGAAATCCAACTTTTCCAACTTCCATGCAAGTTTACGAACCAGAGTCAAGAGACTTCAAGTGCAAATACTCGACTTACAGTATGAAACCAATTTGCCATAGATGCTGAGTTAGTGTGACCTGAAACGATTCCTAACATTCTCCTACCACCCCCTTCATTATTTTCGTATTATTTTATTGTGTATGGTGCAGGAGCAGCTTTTGTTCCTTTGTAAAGGCTGATAGAGACTGGCCAAAATGGGTACAGTACAAAAGTTACTTCTTGCCTCAACAAAAACGGATGCAGCCTAATTCTGCTAGTATAACCTAAGTATAACAACCCGACCGGTCGTTTCGAGCTTTTGCATTTCGTTCGCCAGTTCTCGGAAATGGCTAGCCCCGTGTGATGTATTATGACTTATGCAAATCGTCGGTTTTGATTTTCAGGGTAATCAGAATGAATTTGGAAGAACAGTTTGAAGCTTAAAATTTGAAAGGTTTGACCAAGTTTTGACTTGTTAGTATATGATCTCGGATTTGAATTTTTATGATTTGGTTAGCTCCGTTAGGTGATTTGGAACTTAGGAGCGTGATCGGAATCTATTTTGGAGGTCCGTGGAAGGTTTAGACTTGAATTGGCGAAATTGAAATTTTGGCGTTTTCCGGTTGATAAGTGAGATTTTGATATAGGGGTCGGAATGGAATTCTGGAAGTTGGAGTACGTCCGTTGTGTCATTTGTGACGTGTGTGCAAAATTTCAGGTCATTCGAACAAGGTTTGATAGACTTTTTAATCGAAAGCAGAATTTGGAAGTTTTGGAATTCTTAGGCTTGAATCCAATGCAAATTTGGTGATTTAATGTTGTTTTGAGCAATCCGAAGGTTGGAGCAAGTTTGAATGATGTTATGGGATATGTGCATGTTTGGTTGAGGTCCCGAGGGCCTCGGGTGTGTTTCGGGTAGTTAACGGATCAATTTTTGGACTTTAGACTTGGAAGATTTTCTAGTATTTTGTTGCAGAGAAATCCTTCTTCGCGTTCGCGAGAGGTTCTCGCGTTCGCGAAGGGTTACTGAAAGGGGCAGTCAAGTTGTTCTTCGCGTTCGCGATGTAGGTCCCACGTTCGCGAAGGAGTGATTTGGTCAGTGAAGTTTTGAGCTTCGCGAATGCGAGGGTGATGCCGTGTTCGCGATGAAGAATACCTGGGTAGTCGGTTTATATTTTTAAAATCGAGGGTTCGGTCCATAATTTTGAAATTTCATTAGAGAGCTCGGGAGAAGGTGAACTTTAAGGAGATTTTCAGTGGAGCTATTGGGGTAAGTATTCTTCACTCATATTTGGTGTAATTCCATGATTTAGTCTTGAATTTCATTATTTAATTTGAGAAATTAGAGTAGGAATTGGGGGGAAATGGAAGAAAGGTTTGAGAATTCTTTTGGGGATTTGAATGGGCGATAGAGATCGGATTTTAATGAATTAAATATGGATAGACTCGCGATAGGATGAGGATTCTACTGATGTGATTTTTATCGGATTCCGAGACATGGGCCCGGGAGCCGGATTTGAGCAATTTCGGGATTTTTTATGTAAATTAGATATTTTCGAGTGGGCTTTGTTCCCTTAGCATATTTTGATGATATGAATCTGATTTTAGCTAGATTTGGAGCATTCGGAGGCCGAGTCGAGAGGCAAAGGCATCGTGGGGCTAGAGTCTGGACCGGATTGAGGTAAGTAATGATTGTAAATGTCTGTCCTGAAGATATGAAACCCCAGACTTCACATCGTTGTGCTACTTTGAGGTGACGCACACGCTAGATGACGAGCGTGGGGTCGTGCACCGTTGGGGATTATGACTTGGTCCATCCCGTACGACTATTAAGTCGCGTATTTGATTGAAAACTATTTGATACTATTGTGTTTTGGAAAGTATTACTATGTTTTGGGTTGAATGTCATATTTGGGCCTCGTGCCAACTGTTTGGACCCTTAGGGGCTTTTTACTGCTATTCCTTACTGCTTTGACTTAATATTTGTACTCAGTCATGCTGTGTTTTACTGATTTCATAACTCAGCCTTACTCAATTTTGATACTATAAATTATATTTCGGGTGAACGCTCTATTTTACTGTTAGCTCGATTGGCTTAAGAGGTTTCTAACTAAGTGAGACCGAAGGCCTGTATTGTGAGGATATTATGGGATCGGGCTGTGCGCCGGAGCAGTGTGGTACTGATTTATGATTATGAGGCCGAGGGCCGGATTTGTTACGCCACGAGGTGGCTTGATATGAGGTCGAGAGCCTGTTTGATTATGCCACGAGATGGCTTGATATTGTGTTTGGGCCGTAAGAGGCCCCTCCCGGAGTCTTTACACCCCCCGTGAGCGCGGGTACCCTGAGTGAGTGATATATTGATTATGCCACGAGATGGTTTGTTATTGCGCTTGGGCCGTAAGGGGCCCCTCCCGGAGTCTGTACACTCCCAATGAGCGCAGATACCCAGTGTGAGTGATGTGATGTAGCCCGAAGGGCTGTTGTTGATTCATATTGTTGCCCGAGGGGCGGTTCTTAATTCATGTTATGCCCGAGGGGCTGATTACGAGTGATTGTGAGGTAACCCGAGGGGCTGGTCCTGTTGATATTATGCCCGAGGGGCTGTTTATGTTTTCTATCAATTACACTCACTGCTTTATCACTCGTTTGAAATTATTGAAAGTTGTTTTAAAAGGTTTTTACTGAAACTGAGCTTGATTTACGAAGTAAATGATTTGTGTACTGCTTCGGACGTGGTTTACGTGTTTTCTTACTGCTCAACTTTCATTTACTTTTATTACTTACTGAGTTGGCGTACTCACATTACTTCCTGCGCCTTGTGTGCAGATTTAGGTGTTTCTGAACTCGGTAGCGGGTGTTGATTGCTCAATGGTAGAGTCACCGGAGTTAGCAAGGTAGTTTGCCCGACGTTCGCAGCACTGGTTTACCCCCTCTTGTCTTCCTTAGACTGTATTTAGTACATTTTTAAACTCTTCGTTGTATTCAGACCTTAGTAGATGCTCGTGACTTGTGACACCCCGATGTCGGGCTTGTATATTTATTCCGCACTGTTCATTGGTCTTACATTATGAGATATCTGACTAATTCAAAGTTTAAAAAAAATGATTTATATTGATTAAATGGTTAATTTGGGAGTTATGTCGGCGGGCCTAGTTTCACGATAGGCGCCATCACGACCGGGTTGTTTTAGGGTCGTGACAAGTTGGTATCAGAGCCTAGGTTACATAGGTCTCACGAGTCATGAGCAGGTTTAGTAGAGTCTCACAGATCGGTGCGGAGACGTCTGTACTTATCCTCGAGAGGTTGCGGAACCTTTAGGAAAAACTCCACATTTTTGAATTCTTATCGTGCGTCCTTGATTTAGCTTGAAATGTAACTCTTTGAATTTCTTCCACGCGTTCGTATGTGCGCATGAGCGCTCAGTATCAGATATGTATCGATGGCTTGTGATTCCCTGATCGAAGGGCGAGACGTGATCTCTGTGTGTTGATGTTGGGCCAGTCTGGAGGACTTGAGGCCGGGTTTTGCCTATAGCTTGAGCACTGAGGTATTGATTGTGTGAGCACGTGCTTTTGGATTGGTATGTCTGATAGTGTCCCGATTGGGAGTGATGACTGGATTGCTATGTGATGAGTATGATGTGACTGCGAGATGGGTTCATATGATTTGAATGGGATGAGAAGGGTCTGCTTGGGGTAGTAAGAACTATTCGGTGCTTGATTTCCATCGTGAGTTGACGTATGGCCCGAGTTGTGGGCGTGTTGAAGGATCTTTTCATGTTGCCTAGTTGGGAAGTGAAATAGATTTCACGTTGTGAGATGAGTTCAGACTCAGGAAGATTAAGTGACTGCGTAATGTTTATGACGGTGGAAGGGTATAAAGAGATGTTAGTTTGAGGCGAAGTAGGTGGGTTACCTCCTACGGAGTGTTCTGAAGTTGTGTGGTCCTTTATGTTGTTGTTGGAAGATCTCCTTTACCAGTAAAATATATGTGTTGCAATTTAAATTTGGGTCACTTAAGAGAGTGGGCTTGACTGTTACGAGGGTGAACGCGAGATTTGCAGAGGATTTGAAGTACTAGATGGTCTGTGTTTCACGAGCTTATGAAGGATTGAGTTTAATTCACTATGGTATTATGGCAGTAATAGAGTATATGCATTATGGGTTATTGTGTGTTTTGATCTATGGCTTTGAGCCAAGTGGGGGAGTCTGCTATTGATTAGTTGATTGCACGGTTATGTGCTATGTTGGTTCCAGTTTGAGGCGTACTGGTGAATCAGTTATGGCTTACGGAGGTTGAGACCGAGGATGGCTCGAGTAAAGGAAATTTCAATAAAGGTTATGTTATGCTTTATGGGTATATAAGAATCACAGAATGACTTGAGTTGTTATGAGTAAAGGGTGTACAGTGCATAAAACAGGAAGTTGCTTGTTGTATTAAGGTGAGATTACGTTCTGCGGTGTCGGAGTGCTAATGGAGCACGGGTCATCTGGTCCATCTGATCGGTCTAATTGCGGTTTGAGTAGAAAGGATGACTCTCGAGAATGGTTCTAGTGGGTTCAAGATTTTACATGTAATAATTGGAGATTTTCAGGTTGTATGTTGGCTAGAAACTGAGGTTTGCATTGGAAGGTGTCAAGACTTGTGGCATTTCTATTCCAATTATGGGATTCTATATATCAGTATCAGGAAGGTAAAGGTAACAACTTTGGATTCGCAGAAAGTCCCTTCAGGGTAGGTATTTTGCATATGGTACTTTTGGAAATATTTAAGAGAGTATTCAGCGGCTTATGAGCCTTAGACGGTGTGGTTTTATGCTTGGGTCTCGTGTGGTGAGTCTAGGTTGAGGAATTGTGGTGTTATAGCAAAAAAGAAGTATCAAGTTGAAGG